CAATGAGCGCAAAGCGCTTAGCAAGCGCTAAGGCTGGATTCACATGGAGCGTAACTTGCGTAAAGCCCGTATCAAGCCTCCACTACAATGATTCTCGGTTCTGTCTACAATGGTCGTAGTCGTAAGAATAATCGACTGCGATTGGTCAATTCAGTCAGTCGCATAAGAATTGACCAATCGCAGTCGATTATTCTTACGACTACGACCATTGTAGACAGAACCGAGAATCATTGTAGCGGAGGCTTTAACCAATCACAGTAAAGGCCTTTGCACGTAAAAAAGCATTAACCGTAACCGTAATTTTAGTCCATAACCTACGGAACCTATGTAATTTTAGTCCGTAACCTTCGGAATTTTACTTGGGTTGCTTTATCTGTCTGTACGTGTTGAAAACTACGATTACGGACTAAAATTACGGTTACGGTTAACGCATTTTTACGTGCAAAGGCCTTAAAGTTTACTAATCTCAAGTTCAGTAACTTTTACTCTGATTGGTCAAATTTCAATCTAATCCCAATCCCAATCCATAGTCTGATACGGGCTTTAAGCGTAACCTGCGTATCACCAATCACAGAACTATTTCAACGGAATTATTGAAACGGTTCTATCAGAATGACCCTGTGATTGGTGATACGCAGGTTACGCTACGCAAGTTACGCTCCATGTGAATCCAGCCTACTGAACCTGCATCCTGCATCGACCACTAATCACAGTGGTCGGCTGTTCCAACCTCTTGGTACGTTAACTAATAGTTTTTCAATCGGTTAAATCCTATATGTGTCTTTGTTTTTCAAATTAGACAAAGATAGACCTAATTTAACTGTTAGCTTACTAAGAGGTTAGAAAAACTGGACCTCAAAGAGGAGAGTACTCGACTGTGATTGGTCAATTTCTTATCTTAAATCACTTATTGTAGACTCACACAGTCGCATAATCGTCGGAGCGTCCGAGGGAGGAACAGTGAATACTACCGGAGTGCTGTACGAGAGTAAATTGTTGTTCCACTCCGTCGTGGCTGAACGTTAATTTTATTGTGTAATAGACAAGATAATACAGGCGTCGCGCGAGAATGCCGCCGAAATGTAAATTTCAAGAAGGTACGGCTTTTTCTTTCTCCCTGCAGTTGTAAAGTATCTCCTTCGTATCCCCTTGGATTGAGTTAACATTGTGTCTTATATACTTTTAGGGGAAAAGGTTCTGTGCTTTCACGGGCCGTTGATCTACGAAGCCAAGTGCTTGAAGTCGTCTGTCACCAAAGAGAAGCAAGTGAAATATTTCATTCACTACGCCGGCTGGAATAAGAAGTAAGATTTTTGCGTACTTGTGTTTGCGTACGCGTGAGTTTAGGGCCAGAGCACAAAGCAACGTGATAGCTCGCGACAAAGACGCAAGCGTGAACGTAGATAGCGCACAAGCTTTGGCGTTAATTTAACGTCGTATGTGATTGGAGGTAAGCGCGACAAAGCTTATGCGCTAATATAAGTTTACGCTTACATCTTTGTCGTAAGCTGTTACGTTGCTTTGTGCTCTGGCCCTAATACGCAGGATTTATTTATGCAAGGCGGTATATGTGTCTCTATAGATTGAGGATAAGCATTCGCATTGCTATTAACAAGTACAATACATCTGTAAGGCTAAGGATATCTCAATTTGATAAAATTCTTTCTTCAATTTATATAGAACCTTAACTGAAATAGATTTACACATATATTTAGTTTGTCGAGCTGATAAAGCTGAATTATACACCGAACTGTATTTTTGTCAAAAAAAATAGCTGGGACGAATGGGTGCCCGAGAGCAGAGTGTTGAAGTACAATGAAGCGAACGTGCAGAAACAAAGGGAGGTCCAAAGAGCACACTCGAATCAGCAGTCTGCCCAGAAGAACAAAAAGGGGACTACGACGACGAAAACCCAGGGGCGGAGGAGCGAAGGAGGTAGAGAGAAAGATGCGGACAGTAGGTCGAGCACTCCCGTCGCCGATAAAAGTATGAGCCGTTTTAGCAAGGGTACAAGTAGCACGGTGACGCCTTCGTCCTCTCAGGAGTCCGTGTCTGAACCCCCGCGTAAGAAACGAAGGTTTGTCGTGCAGTGTCTGTTGCCTCTGTACAATTGCGCATTACAGTCTACTCTGAGAAACTCTTTTGTGACTCTTCTTTTAGTCGGTTAGAGCCGTCTGGCGATACCGAGGAGTATCTCACGAAAGTGGAAGTCAAGATCAAGTTGCCCGAAGAATTGAAGTTTGTGCTGATAGACGAATCCGAAATAATACTCAAGCACCACAAGTTACCCGCGATTCCCGTGCAAAATACAGTCGACAAGATCTTGGACGATTACGTGCAGGCAAAATCAGCCGGGAAATCCAACGACATTAGGTATAACGCAAGAGAATCGACAATTTGTTTGTTATAAATGAAATTTTTCAAATGTATATATAGAGAGAGAGACAGCAAAGTCCCTTATTATGAGATGGTGGAGTTTCTGCTAAATTAATTGGCATCATCTGTTGGTTCCACCATAAATTTATTGCCCTTGGAGTGAATTCTGTTTAGTGGAAAATTGATTGTGTGATTGTTGCGAAGAAAGATTTGCGATTGAATTTGGGCGTTGAAAACCTACTATCTCATATCAGAATCTTATAGATGACTCCTCTATGTATGCGCGGCTTGATATTGTTTTAGAGAAAGCATGTTGGAAGTAACAAAGGGTATTCGGGAGTATTTCAACATCACCCTGGGCCTTCAACTACTCTACAAGTGGGAACGGCCGCAGTTTATACAGGTAATGAACGAGAGTCCGGAAACGTTGCCAAGTCAGATGTACGGAGCGTTCCATCTTCTCAGGCTGTTCGGTAAGAGCGCGCTTTCTTCGCGAGACTTTGGCTCGTTTTCAAGCGTCGTATTTATTCAGACGACAATCACAACTTTGCAGTGCGGCTCGGCAGCATGCTGTCTTACACGCCTTTAGACGAGAAGAGTTTGCAGCTGTTGCTGTCGCACTTTCACGATTTCCTGCAATACTTGCAGAAGAACAGCACCGAGCTCTTCAATCTTCAACAGGACTACACTGACCCGTCACCGGATTATCATCGAAAGTACGGTTAAACCGAGAGTAATTATCTTGCAAATTTCATTTGTACTTGAAACAAGTGTATTATTTTCATGTAAAATATCTCGCTCGCTCTCACACGCGCGCAGCAATGCTAATTGAATTCATTTATCACGCAGCTATTCACGCAACTGCGTTACCTTAAATGGATTGCCTTAATAATTTAGCTATCATTTTGTTACAATAAATAAATTATCGCGAAGTGAGGATGACGACGATCAAGAAAAATATTTACGACGAATGCGTTGATACATAACGCGATAGTTTAGATATACATAGATATTTAGATACCAGGCTAATAAATAGGTCCCTAATGCCCGTTTTCACCAATGTCGTTTACTTCGATTTTATAACGAATTCGATTGCTTGCACTAGTGCGCACTGAGTGCACACTGAGGCCTGTTTATGGTCAATTTTTTATATTTAAGAATCACCTTAAATATTTCTTGAAATATTTCGTAAACAATCCTTAGTGTGCACTCAGTGCGCGCTCGTGCAAGCAACCGAATTCGCTATTAGTTTGATTCATCCTTTGTCTCTTTCTAAGGGGACAGTTGGAGTGAATTAAATTAAGAATCAAAGTTATACGGCGTTGGTGAAAACTGGGATTTTAATAAAATATGAATCTGTAATCATTCACACTAAATAATGTCTCTAAACGTAAGGTGTGTTCACGTTTCCTCTCAGTACTACTGACAGTACACCCAATAGTCTCGAGCATTCAGTATCAAAGAAGAGGTGTGGATGGTTGCATTTAGAAAAGAATAACTGCTATGTTATTACGAAGGATACTGATGTTTCGTTCGGAGTGATTTTTCTCAGGGGATTAATTCTGTATCTTACAATATAGTGAAAATGCTAGAAATGAGCGGCTTTGTCTTTTTCTAAGGGTACGAGTTAGAAAGAGACAAAGCTATTCACTTGTAGCATTTTCACTATGGTGTAAGATACAGAATCGACCCCCCAGAAGCCGAATTCAGTGATAGCGTCCAGTACTGGGAGTAGTACTGAGAAGAAATAGGAATACACCCATAATCTGAAATATAATATAGTATTGCTTAAAAGATACGATTAAAGACAGTGAAATACAATAAAAGATATTTAGACACCAGACTAAAAAATAGGTGTTTAAATGAATTAAGTAAAAACATTAATTATTCACCAAGTAATATCTACAAATATAACACAGTATCGTTAAAAAATACAATTGAAAGAATAAAATGCTTCCCGACGTTTCCCGGCGAAATTTAAAAGACTGGAAGTTGAGTGGATAACCGCGTGGCGCGCTCGTTCCACCAGTCCCGCTTGTTCGACGCTCGCCAGCCAATGGGCGCGCGGCGCCCGCGGTTGTTCCTAGGACGGGGCGCCACTGGACGCGCGCCGGGCGGCCATCTTGTGGTGTACGCGGCGAGCGGTCGACTGTCGAGTCGAGTCTCTCGGCGACGTTCGACGCGGAAGGACGGTCCGTCGCGTTCGCCCCGGGCGAGAAACCCGCAGTCGATAACGGCACGCACACGTATTAGGACGCGCCGGGGTTGCGTCTCGCGTCGCGGCGGTGCAAATGCGCGCGCCAGGCGAGTACGAGCCAGTCCGCGAACATCGGGCCAGTCAGCCAGTGGCAGGAAAAAATGGCGGATGTCGACTTGAATATCGATAACCTGATACAGAGATTGCTGGAAGGTATGCGATTTGCGATCGGGGGGCGGCCGACGCGCCGCGCGAGAGGACGCCCGCGCGACGCCCCGGTGCGCGTAACCCCCCCCTGCCCCCCCGCGTGTCGCGCGCGCGTGTCGCCGTCGCCGTGTCGCGCGTCGTCCGCGCGCGGGGGGCCGCGGCGATCTACCCGCAGCCGGGTCTTCGGACGCGCCGCGCGACTCCCGAATCGCGTCCGCGCGCGTCTCGCACGCGTGTCCGCTCGCGTCTCCCCCCCGCGGTTGTCGCGCGACGGTCCCCGGCCGGGCCCCGGATCCGCGTCGCGGCCCCCTCCCCCTCCCGTCTTTCTCGCTCTCTCTCTCTCTCTCCTTCCATCGCTCCTCGAGGGCGCGTATCGCGCGGGAGCCGTGACGCGGTGCTCCGTACCGCGCGCGTCCTTCCTCCGTGTCGCCGTCGCCGCCGCCGCGACTTCCCCGTCGATCGGATTAAAAGACGCGGGGACGGTATCGATCCGATCCTGCCCGCGCGTCCGCCGGACTGCCGCGGTCATCGCCGTCGCGGTATACAAACCGAGTGAGAAAGTTGACGGGGACCGTCGTCCCTCTCCTCTCCCCCTTCCTGCTTTTCTTTTGTTCTCTCTCCTTATCTCCTTCACTTCTTTCGTTCCTTCTTATGTTTTTTCCCGCCCCGAGTGCGCTATTTTACTCCCCTCTACCTCACCGTTCGCGCTCGTTTTCTCACTCTCTGCGAATACACCTCCAACTATATCTCTTTCTCTCTCTCTCTTTCTCTCTCTCTCGCGACTTGAAGAGCCCTCGCCTCCGCGCAAACCGCCACCGCATCAACCACCTCCCCCCCCCCTCTCCCCGCCCGCCCCCTGCGCCGCTGACCACCGTGCGATCACGATCTTTTATCCCTCGTTCTCTCTTCAGCCGCAGAAAACGAAACAAATCTCTTCTCTTTTTGTTTGTTCTCTCTCTCATGCTACGCGAATGCGGGAACCCCCTTGTGCGGTAAAGTATACCACACGCAGAAAGACCAGGTTCAGAAGAAAGCCAAGCTAAAAGATATTTTCTCGTCGGACTTTGTCGGTACGCAGCTACTACACAACAGTAACCATCACCGCCATCACAATCGTCTCATCTTCACCACCACTACCATCGACAACACCAACCAACCAACCACCACCACCACCACCGACATCACTACTACCGTCACAGCAACAACAGGAAACGACAGACTCCCCCACGTAGAGAATTGTATTCCTGGCGTTCGCCTCCGGCCGAGCTTCCCTGACTTTTGTATTCCGTTATCGTCCCGCGGCCCGGCATGTAAACACGCGTCCACTTGGCGTCGCGTTCGTTATCGCTAAACGTGGCTCCGAATATAACACTTGCGTGCTGTTGAGCGCGAGATAAGAGTCGGGGGAGGAAAGTCGCGCTTGTGCAGCGCTCGAGACGTCGTCGCGCCCTTTTCGATCTACGCCGATTTCCGTTTCCCTTCTTACGCGACGTCCTTTTCAACGTCTGTGCCGACTCGAGTCAGCTGCGGTCCGTAGCCGTGAAATGATGAACGACAGGAGCAGTTTACGCGCGGGGAAGTCGAGGAGGAAATAACGCGGCCGGTGTAACGTCTCGAGCCACTCGGAAATACGTTTTAATTTATGCTGCGGTTCTGAGCAAAATTGTGACGCCTGATCTACGATGTGCTTCTTCGCGTCTAGAAACTTTCTGTTTTACACAAGTAAATCGAAATGCATTGAAAAGTTTGTCGACAATGCGCGATCGTATCATTTATTAATGTGCGCCAATTTCGGCTACAAAATAGAACGTTTCTAGACGCGAAGAAACTCGTAAGACTCGTAGGAACTAGCTTGCGTGTAATCTGCAATTCTTTGCGTACCGTATGTCGTACCACTTGTAGAGGTGCGCATAGAATTGCAAATTACTCGTAAGTTGTAGCGAATTCGGTTTCTTGCACCAGTGCGCACTGAGCGCACGCTCGTTCATGGTCAATTCTTATTTTACTTAACTTCAATATATTTCAATATATTTAAGTTTAATTCTTATTTTACTTGTCTTTAATTTAAGGTCGTCTTAAATACATGTTCAGAAACTATCTAGCAAAAAAAAAAGATGCTGTATAAATCACTTTACTGGCTAAGAAGTGTTTCAAGAGGGTTTAATGTGATTCTTAAATGTAAGAATTAACTGTAAACAGACCGAATTCGCTATTCTTATGAGTTTCAAGTCTAATCTACAATGTGCTCTTTGCGTCTAGAAACATTCTACTTTGTAGTCAACACAAATACGTTCGAAACATTTGCGCAAGTGGATAAATTGTATATTGTACACCGTACAATCGTATGTTGTCTACAAATTTTTTAAGCGTCTTGATTTGCTCGTATAAAATGGAATGTTTCTGGACGCAGAGAGCACATTGTAGATTAGGCTTTAAAGCTGGCGCTACACTATACGTGATTCGTGAACAGTGAGGAGGAAAAGTTCGCCATTCGCCGTGATTCGCTAGCCGAGCGGTGTTTCGACGAAAATTGAGGTTTTTTTTACCAATATTGAAACTTGACCAATTGTAGATTTATTATGCCAAGTTCTGTAATAACGGTTAAAAGTTGCCGAAGTTAACACGAACAAAACGACAAATAATAAATTACGAATGATAAACTGCGAACCACGTGATAGTAATAGCGAATTTCTGTGAATCACGCATTACGAATTGCGCATAGTGTGCCCGCTAGCTTTACGATTTTGCTTAGAATCGCAGCATTAATTTCCGTAACGACTCGTCGGTACGAACCTAATTGGTTTACAATTTTGATTACGCAATATTTGGTTTCGCTACGCGAAAAGGTCACGCGCGCTCACATGTAATTTGATAAATGGCACTCGATCTGCATCTGTCTCTCCTCTCTCTCTCTCTGTCTTGGATACGTTCGATACCGAGGCGGAGCGCACCCGGCGGGCTCGACTCCGAGTCACCGACGACGCGCAACGGTGACACGAATTAAATGGAAAGCAGAGTCGGGGCTCTAGGCAGCCCACTTGTCGCCGAATGGAAAGCAATTTATATTCCTGTTTAGGCGTCGCGTTTAAAGCTGAGACGACGTTAAAGCTCCACGGCCGAGAAACGGCGCGGCCGTAAAAAGTTATCGTCGTAACGTAAAGAGGATGACGCGAGGTGTCCGGGGTCGGGTGACATTCAGGTAGCCGCGTTTAGCGTTAAATCGCGCGCAGCGAATTACGGGCCGTTGCCTCACGTTTTGTCGCGTGCCGCTCGTTCAGCTCCTTTTTCTCTCTCTCTCTCTCTTCTTCCTTTCTTTTTGTTTCGTTGTCTTTTTGTCTGTCGGGCGAAGGAGAACTGACCCGCCGCACGCGTAAAATGCGATCCTCCGCTTTGCTCCCCGGTCGTCGATCCTGTCGAGCCTCCCTCGGACCCTCAGACACGACAGTTACACTCTCCTTACTCAGAGAAACGAATCCACGATCTTACTTGGAATACAAGTATCCACACAAACCGCTTCTCGAACCACTCGAAGTTATTTCTGGATCTGTCGATGCACTTAGCCGATCGTTTAGGATCTGTATCACTTCTCTTCCCTCCCCCCGCCCCCCTCGCACTTGTAGCTTTCTTCGTTTTGAGATGCTTTATCCACGTGAAAGTCGAGCAACGTTGGAGATGTTAGCTTGAGTGTTAGAGCACGCTTGGGTATAATAGATGTGTTTGTGCGATCCGTAATTTTTGTAGCATGCGCTTCTACTGTACCTTCTTCCCGCATTCGAATATTTCCTCTCTTCTGCCCCTGCAAAATCTGCAGAATTATCGACCGTCGTGGAAGTCTTAAAGAAATGTAGAATTGCCATTGTACTCTCTAAAAATCAGGGTTGGGAAAGTTACTTAATAAAAGTATCCGATTACAGTTACGGTTTTCTCGCTGAAAATGTAACTAGTTGCAGTTACAAGTTACCAATTCTGAAAAGTAACGCGTTATAGTTACAGTTAAAAAGTAACGAATCGTCACTTTGCAGTTACTTTCTTGCAATGAAAATAAAAATATCAAAGCTGCATTTAAATCGTCAAGTGTCGATAAAGGCGTGTGTGCGCTCATGCAAGGCCTAATGTGATCTGTGGAGGTTTAAAAAATATATAAAGTAACTGTTAAATTAGTTGCTAGTTATCGAAAAAGTGTAACTGAGTTAAGTTACAGTTACAGACGGAGAGAAAGTAACGGAGTTAAGTTAGAGTTACCAGAAAATTGTAACTGTAACTTCGTTACAAGTAAAGGAGTTACTTCCCAACCTTGCGAAAAATCAATCGGTGGATTGTCACTGAAAGCAGTGGAAATCGCAGTGGTGTTACTTATAACTGCAAATCAGCAGCTGTTCAACGTTTTTAGCGATAATGCACTGATTGATTTTTAGAGAGTACGTACAGATGCAGGTCTCGATTAAAGTAATCTCTCCGATCGTGAAGGATAATCTTATCGGGCGTCATTATCTGTAGAGTGCACGCACTAATTGTCTTACGATTTAAGCCAACGGCACACGATACTATTTTTCCTACTGGATTGCTTACGAGTGCCAGGTGATTTAGATCAGGTGATTTAAGGCTAAATCCTGATTGGCTCTCGCAAGCGATCCAGTAGGAAAAATAGTACCGTGTGCCGTTGGCTTTACTCGTTATCGTTGCAATTAACATTCAATTCAACGTGTCTAGCATCGGTTAGTTTTAACGCTCGAATTAATGCGTTTGTGAGTTCACATGTCGGGGATACGTGTGCAAAGTGACCTGTACTTGAGGCAAAAATTTAACGGCTGTATCATATTCAGGGTGTCCAGTGGTCAGGGAAATCTGGAAATGTCAGGGAAAAGTCGGGAAATTTTACAATTTATCTGGATTTTTTACATCGTTTCACATTTTTTCTGAATAATTTAAAGTTTTTAAAAAAATAAACTTTTCTTTAGCTCACAGTACACTCATTTTCTGGGTTGCTAAACATCAATTTATTTATAAGCGTGGTCGGTAATTTATATTTTCATCGTCGCGTTATTTTATTTCAATATGTTGAACTGAGACAAAACTATAAAAAAAGATTAATTACTAAACAGCACCATCTAACAATAAGTAAGTAAGTTACCATCTAGTAAGTTGCAAACAAAATGCAGTTGAGCAAAACGAAAGCATCATATATGATTACATACGGTATCACAGATGGTTTGAATGGTTTGCTATGATATGTTCGTTCCTATTACACAATGTATTATACATAGATGGTATAATTGCTTTAATTTAAATTTTTTACCTTTTTAAATTCCGGACTTTTGTTTTCCGAGAAAAATATTTCAAGGACTCCGTCATTTAACATTCACTTGATTTACCATACAGGTGTACGCAAATTATGCATCTTGAAAAAAGTTAAAATTATTTCCGGCTCCTGGAAAACCTGAAAAAGTCAGGGAATTTTTTTTCATTGAGTTCGCTGGACACCCTGATATTTACCGTAATATTCATTTATGAAACAAGGAAGCGATTTTAATCATTGTACGTACGTTCGATGGGATTCGCAGTTCGAGATTAGCTACTGTTAATTAGTCTCGGAACGTATTCCCGAGCTTTCATTAATATCTTGCTCGTGAGACTTCAGTTCGCTCCGGCGCGGCAACAAATTATTTTTATCTACTTCAGGGACGAATTATTTTAAATTCTTAGTCTTTCATGGTGAAGTTCACCTCGGGCGCATGCGTGATTTATAATAAAAGCGATACCGATAACGCGGGGATTTCGTCAGATTCGCGATTCTCCTCTAAAATTATCGGTCGGTTTTCTAAATTCTGGAGCTGTCACGCGCGGGCGATCCTGGAAATTTACCGTAAATTCACGGCAAGTACGTTCACGTGTCCCTGAAGCGACATAAAGTTCGAGCTCCAGAGTCTTCGTTAACGAGACCTTACAATTATTTTTAACCTCCTCCAGGGACAAGTTATTTCTGATTTATCATACATTCCCTCGATATATTCTCCACTTCGTAGGAGACGATTTATTGACACGTGTGTCGCTGCAAGTTTTGCATCCGAGATGGAAAAGCTACACAGTTGAAAAATTTGTGTTAAATTTAACAGATATCACATGTCCCAAGCGGTCCACACAAACTTTTGTGTTAATTTAACACAATATGGATATGCTAAATAATCACAATAATACTCTGTTAATATTTTAACACAAAATAAATCGAAATCTCAAAATAACTTAAAGTAAATTTTGTGTAAAATTAACATATTTTTAATGACAAAATGAATTTAAAAATGTAATTTTTACATTTTACAGATGTAATAAGTCAAGTGACGGTTCGAAATCACTTATGTTGTATAGAATGAAATCAACATTTTATTCTGCAAATTTTAACTGATAAATTTTGTTACTAATAATATAGAACATATGTATTGCGCCAGATTACAAAATAAGTACACCTTGTGTTGTTTTAACATTTCTTTTCAGTTATTTTAATGATTTTACGTTTGAGGTCAATTAACACAACGGGGCCAATTAACACATGAATGTGTTAAACGTTCACCACAAAAATTTTAACCGGCACCCTTTTTAACGAGAAACCACAAATTTTCCAACTGTGTACGGAGAAAATCTTCCGATTGAATTTTAACAGATCCGCGTTAAGAACAAGCGTCGCGTTATGTAGGATATATCGGGCATCCCGTGTGATAAGATTTTTACGTAAGTTCGTTATAAATCATTAGCGCGAGCCAACGTACGCGGCGGGAGACGTTTGTGCCGTCGTCGCCGAAGTGGGTCTCCGGATCTCGGAAAGAACTCCGTTTTTATTCCGGCTTATTTTAAGCGTTTATTTTAAGCGTCCGATGACTCCGCGGTGCAAAGTGACATTTCCAGGCGTTTCGCCTGGAGTATATATATATATACACTCCGGCCGTGTAACGGCAAAGTGTGACAATAGCTTCTCCGCCGGGTAATGGAATCTCTGCATCTTCGCTCTACAGTCGCCGTGACCTTGCTAATATGCAGTTTTCCGATAGCCGGTATCAGACTAGTTCAGCCGCACCGTGAATTCCCTTTTATGCCTATAAATAAAACGACGGATCCGACGACACATCCATAGCGTCATAAAGAGAGACGGCCTGCACCTGGATGTCGGTTAAATCATCGCGTTCCCTTTGCCTTCGCCGCTTATTAACGCTTTGAATGTCGAGTGACGTCACTTGAAGATATTCGACACCTTTGTGAAATATCGAGGCTAAACGCGCCGGTGAATTTGTCCACGAGTCTACACCGCAATTCGAACTTTCTTTTTTTTACCAAATTAACTTGTTTTCCCCGCATCTTGGACGTGAAAGTTTACATCTCTCGAACGCATCAACGTTAAAGAGGCGTAGACTTTCACGGCCAAAAAGTGCGAGGAAGATAACTTGATTGTAATAACTTAATTTGAATTTTCATTTCCACCGAGGTCCGCGCCGGTCGTTTAATTGCGACGAATCCCCGCTTCGACTTGTGACACTGCAAACGACGAGTTTCGCGACAAGTACAATTACGTCACACGCAGAAACAATAGACGTGTTCGCTGATGCACTTGCTCTACGTTGCGCTCGCGCGAAATTCGGCCGGGATAGAAATTAGGAAGGGCGTGGGAAGCTCGTCCGGAGCCTCGGGATCCAGTTAGGATCCAGAGTGTATAGTTAGAGTGGGTGTTTTGAGTCTCCGTCACGTTGAATCTCGTGTCGGAAATAGCTCTTCCCCCCTTTCCCCCCTTTCCCCCCTTTCTCTCTCGTCGTAAGAGGGAGAGAGACTCGCACTGTCCCGAGACATTTATATCCATTGTCCAGCGAGCTTATCAGTAATTTCACGCCTTTGAGACGCTATTATAATCGATGCCGATAACCACCGTAGACCACGCCGGAAGTACCGTGATTGTACCCAGTGTGCAAACTGCTCGAGAATAGGCAAGAGATGATCTGGCCACACCGTAATCTGTAATCGTGTGTCACCCCTGTTTTTTTTTTTTTATTGAGACGGCTAATACCGGCAGAGAACTTGATCATCTTCCATGCCCCAAAGTAGAGTTATGCTCGGTGTACCTGTGAGAAGGAGTGACCGTCCCTCATTAGTGCGGCGGACGGAGAAGCGCGCCTCATTAGGCGTCATTATCGATTCGACGGCGCGGCTAACGGAGAGAAGGGACAGCCGGCGCGAGTAAGGCGAGAACACGCAAGTCGATACAAGCCGGCGGTGTTTTTCCATTGTTCCTCCGCTCGGCGCGCGAATCGAAGAATTGCATAACCGTGCGTAACCGGCGTACGGCGGAGTCGAAGGTGCACGGCGCGGGGTCTGAACCGGGCGAGACCTGAACGGCGGGGGGTGTAGATCAACGGGATAATGATGTATTATTGGCCGTGTCGCGCTCGAGTAATTCCAGAAGCGTGTACGCGCGTAGCGGTATATAAGTAATGCGATATAAGTACGGCGCTAATTATACGTGACAATGGCATTATTGATTTTTTTGCCAGAGATAGATCTGCCCGTTCTTACGTTAAAGATAGACCCTTGTCTGCCGACGTGAGAGAGCTCCTTTGAGAGGAGATTGAAATCAGCTGGTAAATTCGTGTCGAGCCGTTGATAGACGTGTAAACAAATTGTTGCCGCGCTCTCGTTTCACCGTTAGTTCTCTTGACAATTATACGCACGTGACGTAGACTTCGCCGCACTAATGAAGGATGCGAGTGATCCTGAGTAAAACCGTGCAATTAACCGGCAACATTTCTGGGCATACAGTCAGAGGATGTCGACCGGGCAAGAGCGTGGTCATGTCGGAGGCCGAGGTGCGCGGCCTCTGCCTCAAGTCGCGGGAGATTTTCCTGCAGCAGCCGATCCTGCTGGAGCTGGAGGCGCCGCTTAAGATCTGCGGCGACATACACGGCCAGTACACCGACCTGCTGCGGCTCTTCGAGTACGGCGGCTTCCCGCCGGAGGCCAACTACCTGTTCCTGGGCGACTACGTCGATCGGGGGAAGCAGTCGCTGGAGACGATATGCCTACTGCTGGCGTACAAGATCAAGTATCCGGAGAACTTCTTCCTGCTGCGCGGCAACCACGAGTGCGCCAGCATAAACAGGATATACGGCTTCTACGACGAGTGTAAGCGGCGGTACAACATCAAGCTTTGGAAGACCTTCACGGACTGCTTTAACTGTTTGCCGATCGCCGCGATCATCGACGAGAAGATCTTCTGTTGCCACGGCGGGCTCAGTCCTGACCTGCAGGTGATTAGCGGAGAAACGACGGAGCTCTCCTCCCGATTCGATTTCTCACGTGAGAAGAAACCGTTGGATCGGTAGATACATTTATACTTGGCCTTTCTTTTTCAGGGAATGGAACAAATCAGAAGAATCATGCGTCCAACCGATGTACCTGATACCGGTCTCCTCTGTGATCTCTTATGGTCTGATCCTGATAAAGATGTTCAGGTGAGATGTTTTTACGTAAAGCGAAACGTTAACGCGCCGACTCGATTAATACAGGAGGCTCTAATTGCACATCCACGATAATGTTGTAGGGTTGGGGCGAAAATGACAGAGGAGTCTCATTCACATTCGGTCCAGACGTCGTGTCGAAGTTCCTGAATCGTCACGACATGGATCTCATATGCAGGGCGCATCAAGTGGTCGAGGATGGCTACGAGTTCTTCGCCAAGCGACAACTTGTCACACTTTTCTCCGCGCCAAACTACTGCGGCGAATTCGACAATGCCGGCGGAATGATGAGCGTCGACGAAACGTTGATGTGCAGTTTCCAGGTGATTGGCCAGAGAGAAAAAGCTTTCCTTTCGTTCGTCCCTAATGGCGTCGATGGCAACTTTTTGACTTTATTGTGCCCATCGCATCTTTTTGCAGATCTTGAAACCGTCAGAAAAGAAGGCAAAATACCAATATGGAGGAATGAACACGGGTCAAGCCGGTAGACCATCTACACCACAAAGGAATCCAGCGAAAAAGAAATGACAGCCTTCAACCGAACCTGCACAGCAACAAACGCGATTATCTTTAATGGAGGCTATCATGCTAGGTAAATCTGCTTTATGCTTGTCAAAGCTTACTTAATCACACTAGCTGACCACTTATGTGCATTATTACGAGTCTGTTTCCCACGATTATCAGTTGAACAGTGAAAAAAAAGTGAAAGGAGAGCGGAAGGAAGCGAAATGTAGGACGTTACTCGATGTATTTAAGTTCGCGCAATGATTCGCCGATGATTTAGATGTAATGTTTAGCACGCGACATTTCCAACACATGTACACGCACTCCGGGACGGACACGATTTAAGTGGACATGATTTACGGGACAGTGATATGTTGTATGGATTCGTTCACTCGGACACATGGGCTTGCGAAAAATTCGTAAATGCTTTATAGCCGACGCGCTTGTCGACGACATCGAGTGCCTCAGATGCTACGTATCTGATCTAACCTTTGGTTTTCATGTGTTTCAGCACGAAGACGTCGAGATACAGAATTAACCTTACTGATAAACATTACCTTTAAAAGAGCATGTGTAAGATTTATCTCTCTTTCAATTGCATTTTAACGAGATAAGAGATACGAACAGTCCGCGCTGTGTCAAGTTTCGATTATCATCGTACTTGACGGAGGATCGGTTCTCAGAATTTCGCGGCAGTTATATCTCCCGTAAACAAAATGATCCTTCGGTAAAGCTGGCGCTTTTTAAAAAAGCATTTTGTCACTTTCATTTGTATTTATTTGTTGATGTTGAGTGTAATTATGAGACTCGCTGTTATTATTATTATTATTAATTTTATTTTTAATAGTATTTTTATCATTGCTTTAGCAGCTAATTTAAATGTCATCGTTTCGTGAGATGCTGAGCGTGTATATAGATAGATATATATTTTTGACCATTTATTTTTTTCATTATCCATTACGAATTGAATTATGTCGACATGTGCAGTATTCCGTGGTAGTGACTGCACGGTCCAGGGATATGTCGTAGACGAATTTGGTTGTTTGTTCTCGGGCGATAAATCTGGAAAGCAACATAGAGGACTAGTATTTTTAAGATAAAACGCTAGAGATCACGCCTTTATTCGAAGGATATTGGAAGGAGGGGGGAACGTGAAGAAGAGAAAAACGAGGACATGTGGCATTGTTATACTGGGAAAAACATGTGGATGTAGAATCTCGGCTTTTCACGCTCGCGATGCGGGCGAAACGCGAATGCAAATGTGCACTTGGTTATCTGATTTATGAAAGATTTATCACATATCGTAAAGATTATTTCGAATCGTGCGAATCTCTTTCAACAATGGTTTTACAGCCGGACCTGCGTGTTTCGATTTTGACGAGTTGAAATTTTGCATTTGTTACAATGTGTATTTATGTTTGCATGTCTAGACGTAAGATATACTTTCGCACACGTGCTTGGATAAAATTCACTAACTTCTTGAACAGAAAGACATACGATGGCAAATTGCATTTGGTTTGGTGCATTTATTTGAATTGTATCATATGTTCATTCAACTTGGTTTTCTTTGTCGATTATTCAAATGTTTTTCAGTAATGCTGGATTCGTCGCTGTAGAAGTCACTAATACGATTATTTTACAAACTTAACTGCATTAAAATTTTCTCGCTGCGCTCTTGATTTGTAAGCGACATTGTATTATTATTTGCGGTTGTCCGCACAACAGAAATCGCATATGCCGGAGAAATATGTGTTTAGTTAAAAATTGAAATACTATTATATTCTGTACACATGCAGGAATCTTAGAAATGACTTATGTATGAAGAAGAAAATGCTGTGCTGTACGGAAGTAGCAACCGATTAAATATGAAATTGTATTTATAGGGAGAGCGCATTTCCCTAATAATGCGAAATTGTGTTTTCAAGTGATAACATTAGCGAAATATCCATACAACTAATAAATGAGTACGTCAAAATTAACGAGGCATCGATAAAGCGCGTTTCTGGACAATTAAATTTAGACTGACAATTGATGGGGTGTCGTGCGAACTATTGTGATTGAAGAGACACGATCCGGAGACACGAAGACCGTACATCAAAACTGAAAATTCATCGCGAAGCAGAGATCAATCAAACGGAGCAAGCCTTTTCGTGGCAGCGACGCCACGATTGGCTCTCATATTATGCTATATTTTACTCAATGGTTACTGATTATTTGATTGTTATTTAACGTTATCAGGGAGCGTTTGACGAAGTTATTGTTCGTACGTAAAGATGCAGTGTGCGAATTTGTTATGTTTTGGAACTGGATGAAACGGAAGGTCCTCACCTCTTCCCTCCCTGCGTTTCTCTCCCCTCAAAAAGAAAAAAGAATCGCAAGATTAATTATCGTCAAAGGAGCGGTTGTGATCCCCTGATATATGCGTTCTTTTTGTCCGAGATTCATATATTATATACAGATATTATATTTGTAAAGGGTTGGCCGGTCGCGATTCGACGATACTTTATTAAATAAATAATTAAATAAGAGGCGCTCTCGTGAGAGGAGTTTGCGACTATCGTGGGTTGTTACATCGTTCGAATCGTCGATGACGGAACACGCTATGCAATGGCATCCTAGAGATGTAAAACTTTCAGATAATAAACATGCATATTGTTGTACAAACCTCTCTTTCAGCTTGCTATTCTTCCCTGGCTCTTTAGTAAGAAGGTACGAGAAAATGAATATACTGCGCAACAAGTTGATCTTTAATTATTCTGGTTTTATATAATAGGATACATATTTTTCTGGATGATAAGATATTAAATTTGCGTTAATCCAATTGTTAAAGGATTTTCTCACTTACATACCATGTGCATTTTACATTAATTTAAAAATAATTGAAATATACTTTCCAGCAATTGTTATCAAATCGAGCCTGTATTTTATAGTAATTTTATTGTAACTTATCGAAATTAATATCGAATTTTGTCAAGTCAACAAATTGAATCGTTACGAATCATAAATTGTCATAATTACAATTACAATATAAGGATGTCACTTTGAAAATGATGCCCGGAAGGAAAACGAGATCAGGGAAACTGACTGTCCTGTAATCAAATTTTGGCAGTGTTTATTTTATTTCAGATTATGGATGAAAGGTACAATAAATCATATGACGGGGAGTGTTAATAAATAAATAAAACTCCGTGGAAATATGCACTGTGATAGAGACGCCAAAATTCTTTCGGGACGTGATGCAAGTTTTCTTTCTTTTTTTTGGTTGACTGTTTTCAGACATTATTTTTTCCTTTTTTCGTCGTTTTTTTGTTTCACGCTTTCCGTGTGGCACCGGGCAGTCATCAGTAAGCGTAAGCTGCTGAAAAAGAGAAATGCGTTGATCAAATATGAAAAGGAACGACAATCACGTGCGCTTATGGAAAAATATTAAATGAGAAAAACAGCATTTGAGAAATCACAAATCGTGATGTCGATTTAATCAATGCAACGTCGAGATAAGCGCGATTCTTGATTTATTATTTTTCCATAATTTTGAGGTTTCTACCGGAGGAAGTGTACAAAATAAATTAACATGCGACGTTCAAGATAAATGCGGTATTTTTAGAGAAAGATTTGACATTTAACGTGCTTGGCAGGAATCCTCAATTAATCTTGAAATTGTTACACGTCCTCTTGTAGAAATGTTCAGAAAATTCACCAGAACAATTTTATGGAATTGTGAATACAATTTACAGTTAAACATTAGAAAACATAGGTGTTTACACGTCCTCGTCATACGCGGTGTAATGTTTCGACTATACTGATGGCAGTTAGTCCTTTATAAATATAACGTGAACACGGTATTAAGGCATTAAACATCATTTGCTAAATATGAGTCTAAATTTAACACAGCAAGCTGAGAAAACCTAGCAAATTACAAGTGGTAACATGAACTACTCTACGCGATATTTAATATATATTGATATATTAGCCACTACATCGAACAGAAATATTACACCGTGAACGAGGCCCCCTTGGTACACTCGTCTGGGGGTAATTGAGACATAAGTATTCGACACACAAGTGTCTCTCACTGGAAAAAGAAAAACTCAACATGTGATGTACAGAAAAACGAGTAAGATGATGGTTCGTAAAATGTAGACTGTCAAATCATATACAGACCGTCGTGAGAGATGTCGATTGTAAAACAACTTTGTGATTAGATGATTATGCTACCGATTACGTGAGGAATTAGGATGATGCTTCGTTAACGAAACCCTTCGGCTACGACGCTTCTGGACTGTCGCTCCCGTCCTCGAGGAGAGCCGAGAACGACTCGTCTTTATGCTAAACGCCGAGCCCACAAGCGGTGAGTGCTATGGTTTGCGAATGGTAATAATCCGCGAGTGATACATACAGTGATGCATTGATTTTAACACTAGAAGGTGCACTAGCTTTCGTTATATTGAAAAGTCGTTGCATCGTCTTTCTCGCGCTGCTACTTTAACTCGCATGACAATTGAATTGATAAAATTAATACCAGATGTACGAATAAACTTATCGTCTCGCCTCCGTCGATGATTAAAGATCCATAAGACTTCTAGCCATTTGAAAAAGTTACTCGAGTCACTGCTCTCGGCGAGGAGTAAACTTAAAAGTCTTCTAGTGTTAACAAATAAATGCGGCAAATGTGTATCATGCAACGATCGTGATTTGCGGAATGGAGCTTTCTTTTTAATCACTGTACAAATATACAACTATTTCACCACTGGGGCAGGCAAGATACTGTCGGGCACGTACCGCGTGTTCGAGATTCTGTCAGCGGCTCCTCGGCCGGAGTAATGGCTCGGTAATTAATAATTGCCACAAGGATTAGGGTACATTCTTGTAACGCATTCTGGGGAAAACATTTGGGAAAAAACAGTCGAGTTAATACACGAGTGTAATTGGAGTTACGCGAGGGGAGGAACGCATCTTCCGCGCTGGGACAATCGGTGATTTACGAAGATGAAGAACACGCGTGGTAGCCCAAGGGTTAAAAGAGGCCCGAATTCTCTCTCATTCAAACAGCCGTCGTCACACGGGCCTATTACGATGTGTGTGTGTGTGTATATATACAGTATATACGCTGCTCACTCATTTGTTACGTTCTACTTGCATGTTAATAGCGAGCGTAATACGCTTGAAATGACGCAGACGTTTTCGGAATCGTGATGCGCCACCACTATCCCCGCCGACTCTGATTGAGATTATTGATTGTTTGACTTATTAAACGAGTAAATGGGGTGCGAGGGATTCAACACTTCGACCACTTTAATCTCTTATCGCTCACTTTTTTTCGCTTAATACGTGGTACGTTTATTATACCACGGGCTGGTAAAGTGAAATCGTGGAACTGGCTGCGAATAATAGTAGTATAACGCTCCTGAAATGATAGACATTCGTTTGCTGTAGCATCGGTCTCATTACATTAAATCTGCGTCGGACACTCTTGGTTTCAAATTCGATAGAGTCGAGTCTGTCGTTAATCACTTGTCTCTGGTGAGATCTCAAACAAGACAGAAATAAAAAAAAGGAAGAACGCGCCTGAAAGGTGTCTGAAGGGTACTTGCAACGTTGAGGCACCTTTCGGACGTTCTTTCACATTTTCTTTTCTCTACTCGTGTGTGTTATTCAGTTTGCATCGTGCGACGTTCGCCCTCAAAGGAAAAGCACCCACTTGGAGAGCTAAGCAAGAATAAAATTTCGCAGTCTGTCGAAAAATGTGGAACGCGTTCAAAAAACAAAGCTGCCCGAAATGCCACTTTCGCCAGCGTTGGCACCAGGTGTTTTCAATTTTACAGTTCGACGAAGCTGATGGCACGGCCTGTGCCAAAATCATTAGCAGTATCGTCGAGGTGCCAAATATCTCCGTATGGCCGCGTTTGTATTTTCGATCGGCGTGACAAGTGAAAGGATATTCCGACCCGTTTTCCGACGTCACGACTGGCGATTACTTCTATCACTTGATTCGTGCTCGAACTAGCCGACTCAATTTTGCGAGAGAAATTAAATTCGATCGTGTTAGTTTTCAGTGTTAAAAATTTTACTTAAATGTGCAAACAGATCTCATCGTTTCGCGCGATTGAAAAATACCTTCACGTGTCACACGTTCGGGAGGAGATCGAGATTCGATCGATTCTGCCATTAAAGAATAATCGAGAGAGAAGCTTTCGCCAGTAGAAACGTTCTCCTAAATGTTTAATGGTGTCGATAAACGTGAAAAATTATCAAAATCCATACCGAGACTACGGCTATTCTACTGGTAAAAAGATAGACGGCTGAGTATGAGTTCCAATAGCTCACGTATATTACGAAAACGAATGGAAATGCAAAACACTTCTTGTGCGAAAAATATCTCGTCTTTCGTAAGACAGTGGTTAAACTGTAATTTAATAATGTATGTTAAGTGCATGTTAAGAAAATGCATTGTGTTCTAGACTACTATAACTTGCTGTTTGACGAATAAAATATTACGTAAATTTTCAGTAAGTCGTGAAATTTTAACAACAGCTCTTTGCCATCGTGCGATACTACAATAATATTTTTTTCTCAACATTCTGCAATAGTAGTCTAGATTTAGATGCGTATTTGCGATTACGAATGTCCCTTTAAGGAAATTAAAAAGCACCAGTAATCGCAGATATTGCAATTGCTGACTACAGGATTAACCAAAAAAGATTTTACCAAGAGGCTGTCTAAATATTCGATTTTATTTTACTAAAGATGGCCGTCTTTCAGTACGGTTTAAAATTCAGAATTGAAATGATTTCAACGCGTAGCATGTCAGCCACGATCAAGCGGAAATTTCGCAATGCTTCGACATCTTTTAATAGCATCTGTAGTCAGTGTTTGTCAACGACCAATGCCACTCCACGTCACACGAATTTGCGCAATCGTCATTTGACGCGAGCGTATATTTTTGTTTGAAACAAAATTGCCGTTAGTGTTGAATACAATCGACGGAATGCATCATTGTTAATTTATTTTCTTGGTCTGATAATTAAAAATTGAGCCGGCATTGGTCTTTGATCGCAACGAAAACGAACTGTGCGTTATTCGAGCTAGAGGGTCAGCGGGCATACATACCGAAGGGCCTGAAGGGATGTCGGCTCCACAGATAGCTACGCTTAATTGGACTGAGATAGCTGTCTCTCAGAAAGAACGGCGTGCGATATTGAGCGTAATTCGGAATATAGGGCGCGTAGCTCGGGTACCACCATGGGTCCCTAGTAAACGCACTGATGGGTGCCATTGGTGATGGTTCCAGGAGATCGAAGTACGGCTTCTTGCGCAGCAAGACTGACGGACGTGGCAACAAGAAGTCGTCGTCCACGAGATTACCTGCGCGTGAGATGAATTTTATTGGGATTGCGATTGCAGACTGGCACGCGGACGGCGCGCTCGGCTCTTGCCGAGGTAGGTAGATATTGTTTATAAATATATACTGGTTATGTAAGGCTGTATACGCGACTGTAAAGGAGCCTTCGGGCTTCACTTGTGCGCTAGAACGAAATATTATTAGCACTGATTGTTTAGCAAATGCTACGACCCACCAAAGCAGCTAGAATGAGTCAATCTCTTTTTTAAGATGAAATTCAGAAGGGGTTTAATGTCAAACTCGTTTTCAATCAGTTTTAAATGGT